GAAGAGAATTTTGTAGAACAAAAAACAGTTAATCTACTGGAATCGATAAAAGATTCAGTGCCATTGGTTGCCACAAACAAGATCAGAAGACAAAAAAGACAGAAACTGTGTGAACAGTTTTAAATGAAGGAAACCGTTAAAACAATTTTCATTTTTTTAATCATCATTTCTTGTCATAGATTATTTCATATTTCTATACTTTGATAGCAGTTATATATCATTATGCTTTTATTATCAATATTATGCAGATTTTTACTCATTATTTTTACTAGTTATTTATAATGAATATGAAATAACGGTGAAGTCATTTGTCAATTTCAGGAATTAAAAAATAACCAATACAAAAAATAAATATTAACACAAATAATTGATAACTGCAGCTCTACGGTTTTGTTCAAAGACAGGGGTTAGGTCACAAAGGTCGTCACCTGCGGAGGCTGCTGACAGTGAGGGCACTGGGTCCCAGGCATGGTATGGATGGTGTGTGTGGACGTTGTCTCTCTTTGACACTAGAGCCTGAATCTCTCGCTCCACCTCACCTCTGACGACCGACAGTTTTCTTCCAAACCTGGAACCACACACAGTTGAAACATGACCGCCCGTTCGTTTCACACAGACCGACAGTCAGTGAACAGACAACAGGTCCTCTGTTACCGTGTTTCTAGGGCTTTGAGGCTCTTGTTGCGTGGCTGCTGTTCCAGACAGCTGACTGCAGGGTTGCCAGCAGTGGGAAGGGTCATGGCACTCAACACCAGGCTAGTGATGGCCTGTACTGCCAAAACATTCAACTGTGTTCGCTCCAAGTCCTCCTACAGACAAAACAGCAGTGGGAATGTGTTTAAAGACCAAGAGAAGATAAAAGACAACACATAGATGGATACATGTTAAAATCTCAAATAACTGCAGTATAGTATAGGTTTTGAATCACTACCTCCTGCTGTGTTTCCTCTTCCTGGTCCATAGTGATGGGTTGGGTGACCAGCACCCCCAGCAGTGTGGCCCAGGTTTCCTCAAACTGTGTTCTGCTGCTCCAGCCTAGAATTATAATAATTGTACAATTTGCTTAGGTGAAGATTCGATTATGTTGTCGTCAGCTCCTGTACTTGCTTTCTTTCTCCTGTTTTTTCTTCCTTATTCCCTCATTTTTCTTTTTTTGCCTATCTTTGTATTGTTAACATAATCCCAATATAAAACTCTCTAGATAAACCTGACTCCATTCTTTCAGTTTTTTATGTAATGTTACTTCTAACAATTACTTAGTGTACAAACTGCAGAGTCCACTGAGGGAAATGTGTTTTGTGAATGTGAGCTGTACAAAAATGATGCACTTTTGTACCCAGTGTGTTGATGCGATAGAGAAACTCTCTGAAGACGTCTTTCTCCTGCAGGAAGTCCACAGGAATCTCAGGTAGCGTGGTGGTAAACTCTCCTCCTGGCTGAGGGGACCAGCCCAGTTTCCAGACCTAAACAAAGACAGTACCATTTAACTACCTAATGAATGACTAACTGTACTTCTTTGGGAATGTATTCCAAAAAAAAACACTGACCAGAGGAGGGACTCGGGTGTAGCTGTTGACCAGGGGCAGTCGGGACAAACTGATGACGATGTTACGCAATGTTTGGGTAAGAAAAGCTGGGATCACACTGTTTCTATAGTGACCCAGGGACAGGATGTTCTGCAGACCTTCCACCAACTCAGCCATGATTTCACAGGCTTTCCACTCGCACATGTCTATTAAAAAATAAATCATAAAAATAAATAAATGATAAAAATAAAAGCCAGAAAGAGTCTAGTGACAACCAAACAAGAAATGCTGCCAGTTTTCAACAGTTTTTCCTACAATAGACTCACAGCCAGCATGAGCAGAGTCCACTTGGTTTCCTTCAGCGTCTCCTGTCTTTGTCTTTTTTCTTTCTGAATGCAGCAGCTGGTCACCAGGGCTCACAGCAACTTAAAGGGAAAACATTTAATTGAAAATAAAATACCATTGCAGAGGTGAGGTTCTATGGTGATGAAATAAATGTATTACCTGCAACAATGACCAGATGCAGACAGTAAATCAGAGAGCAGGTGTGTGTAGAGTACTCCGCTGTGGAAAGTTTGTTCCAGACACAGGGCTGCTGCAGAGACAAACAGAGGCAGGACAGCGCCCACTGCAGGTCTACACTTTGAGGTAACCGATCCTGGAGCAGACGCCATACCACCACCTACAGGCAAATACAAATATTACCATTACTAGTTGAATTGAATGGGTTTATTTTTCCATGTGTTGTGTTTTCTTTAAGCTGTCAAAAGTACTCCAATAATAATATTATAATATAACTATAATAATTTGCAATATGCAAAATTTTAACACATTAAATTATGCACTTTATTTCCTATTATTCCACCATCCTTCAACCAATAAGTCAGGACATGTTATTAACACACACTGCAGAAAAAAGTTTAACTTTTTAGTTTCACTAAAGTAGCGTCAGCCTGAAGTACCATCAAAACTAAACCATGTATATTGAGGCTTCAACTCCAGGCCAGCAACACAGTGTGTCAGACCAGATTACCTAATCTGTTTATTCCAACAGCTACCCTGTGAATAATCACATCGTAATGATTGGCAGCCAGATTGTCAGACAGTTCTCACCTCAGCTGCAGTGCAGGTAAAAGTGGTGATGAGATGCTCCTTATCAGAGGGAATATGAAGCGATGAGGGCAGCTGGTTGACATTCAGCAGATACTGGGAGAGTGCTCTGCACTGGCATAACACCCTGAAGTAGAAACCAGGCTCATCTGAAAGAAGAAAACATTTACAGCCAAACTTCATTTATTATCTACTTCTTTTTCTGCCCCACCACCAGCTCCCATTACTGACCATAGACATCAGCGAGTTTGTCCCAGTAGGGCGTGGGCTGGGATGGCGGTAGGAAGGACTGGTGTGGTGTAGGAAGGGATCCGGTTATTCCAGCTATTTGCTCGAGGGTCACCTGCAGGCCAGTCTCTAATAGAAGCGACCCCTGACCCCGTGCTAACTGCTGAATACCCAAACTCAGGCATGGACACAGCAGGCTCAGGTTAAAGTCCTTATCAAAAGATGACAAGGAAAAAGGTTAATTCATTAAGTGCAACACACTGCAGTATGTGCTAGTTTAAAAATGATCAATTCATTTAGTTTAGTTCAATTAACAAATCAAAATTCACAAAAACACAATACAGCGCTTTACATTAATGACAATCTCAAATAGATTTTATTTCAGTGTAAAGCACTATTTTAATCTAAAAAGGAGATAAAAGAATTGTACACTTCTGATAAATTAAGTATAAACTGGTAAATATGCTCAGATAAAGTGTACATAAAGATTTTATCACCTTGCAACTCATAATGCTCAATAGGTCAGCAGGAGGTAGTTTAGTGAGCAGTTCTGTTGTCTCCAGCAGAGAAACGTCTCCACGAAGACAGCACTGGGACCTGACCAGGGACACGTACCACTCCTGAAAAAGTCCAGTTCATTAGTGTTTCATGCATTGTCTCTTCAGATTGTCTCCCTTAATTTCTTTCTCTAAAGACTTACTTTATCTGCAACCACCAGTTGAGGGGCAGGAGGAGGATTTCCATCTAAGGGGTGGGTTGTTACAGGGGGTGTGGGGCTGCTGGTGTCAGCAACAGTAGCTCTGAACCTGTCCAGCAGGGAGTAGAACCTCTGGTGCCTGTTACACACACACACACACACACACACACAAATATAAATTAACTGACAAGTAAAAAGCACTAACCTGGTGGTAGGATTAAATATCAATATTTAATGCTATGTCAGTAGCACCGAGATCCATAGAGCACATCCTCTGTGATACAAGTAGTTATTAAACGAACACAAACATGTTTAAACAGGTCTTACCTCTGAGCCAGGCCACTGGTCTGGAGATATTCCTGAATCCTGTTCAGTTCCTCCACAGGCAGCTGAGCAACACTGTTCTGGAAGGTGAGTGAAAATGCAATTAATTGATCAGCAGTAAACCCAAGCTAAGTTTTCTATACACAGTTTTAATGTGTTTGATGCCAGTGACTTTTTACTATTAGTTCACAAAAGACAAAGTATTACCACGAGAACCAAAAATAGCACATCAATGGAATTAATGAAATAACAAGGCACTTGTGTGTATGAAAACATACACATGTATTGAGCTAAGAATGGAGTTGCCTACCCTACTTGCAGGAGAAGTTGAACCAAACAAAAAAAAACTATTTTGAAAAATAAATTCAGGCTAACTAACAAATCTAAATGTATTCATTTATTCATTAATTGTGTGATGGTGCTTTTATTGCGATGGAGGTGCAATGTGTCTCAAATTATGTTTGGGGACCCGGCAAAATCTTTACTGCTTACCTGGCAATTATTGCATCCAATATTGCCAGGTATGATTGTACTTCGTGTCAGCTGTGAAATGTTGCATGTGTCTCCAATATCTTGCTGAAATGTTCTTGTGGACAAAAAAACGCTCTTTTAAAACATGCTCCTTGAGCAGCATAAAATCCTCCAAAAGAACAAGACAGGCCATGACACAAATTATATTTTCAGCCATAGCTGTCTTTTTATGTCACACCAATCATTCAAAATGTCATACTTATTGAATTTTTATTAATAAGGGGAAACAGGGAATATCTGTGAAGTTTATATTGCTCAACACTGTCTTGTTTAATGGTTTCTAATTGTAGTTTAACTGTTTTACAACTAGATTTTGCACATGGTCAGACCACTGCTTAAATTTACACGTTTCTAAGCACAAGTACAAGTTGATTAATTCCATACTTTGCTTGAGAATGTTCGTACGTTTATTACCCACACTTCTGTGCATAAGCACGGTTGATAAACAAGGTCTTTAAATGCAAGTCAGCTGCAAACTGACACCAGAACCTTACCTGCAGTGTCTCAGCCAGTAGCATCTCCACCCTGCGACAGGCCAATGTGTCCACCATACGAGCCAGAACCCTGAAGGGTGTATTGAGCAGCTTGTCCACGTACAGCATCAGAAGAGAGCCAGACTGACTCAGGTGAATGCCTTCTAAACACTGCAGAGTCTTCTTCAGCATTGTAGGCTGATTAGAAACAGAGGTAAGTTGTGATGGAACAGTAGAACTTACCACAACTTAAAGAACACAAGGAAAATGTAAGAATTTAAACTGCAGATCATTAAGTTTGAAATTAATAATAACAGAGAAGCAACAAAACTAAGGGACACATTGGAACTGATGCTGAGGAGGAGTCCGACCACACCTCAGCAGAAGAGACAGAGCTTCATCTTCTAAATAAAATATGGGGACTTGTTCAACTAGGTGTGTGTTGGCAATAGTGAAACAACATATCGCGGTATTACAGGGTATCAATATTTTCTTACACACCTATTAGATTGTTGCGTTTCATCACTCAAGTCTCAAGAACAACAGCTATATATACAGTTTTTCCAGAATAAACTTTTCTTCATGGATCCTTGTAAAATAAATGTTTCATTTTTTTTCCTCTTCAACACATAATTTGATTTCCATTCTGATAACATATTTAAATATGATCTCACCGTACTGAGGTTGTCACAGCGTGACTGGATGGCCTGAATGAAGAGACCACTGGCGGCAGAATTGCGGTGCACGGCACTAATGAAGTCTTGCACTGGAGGCTCATGGGAAAGGCTGATGAGGTCACTCACATGGTTAACAATGAGCCAGGTCAGATGCTCGGAGTCATGGAGGTTCTGACACTAAATGAAGAGCAGGACAAACAAGGGCTTCAAATGAACAAATAGCCTTCAGTAGGACTACCATGTGTGGTAACAAACATTACTGGATATCATACCACGTAGTCACAGAAGAGGATGAGGGCTCCCCTACGTACAATCTCTCTGTTGACCATTGCTAACTGATACTCAGGTTTGTCCTGTTCTTTATCTGAGGAGTGAGGGCTCAGCAACTTTGTGCAAGAGAGACTGTGTCTTCTGAAAAAAAAGCATTGAACTGATGTTTAAAAGAACTTACAGAAGCAGCAAGACACAGGTTGGAAAAGGAGCACCAAAGTACTGTGTTTTCACCTAGGTGTCTGCTGGACCTCAGCCCACCATGAGTAGTTAGTGTAGTTGATGATGAGGAGGACCTGGCACCACAGTAGCACCAGAGAGGGGTGGGTGGTGATGAGGCACTGCATCATAGTGTTCAGTCCTTCTAATGCGTAGAAGAGTCCTGTGTCTGTGACAGTCAGCCCACTACCGTTATCACCCTTCAGCAAACGACTGGCTGCAGCTGTGATCCTGCGAAACATTCCTGCAAATGAAGAAAAAAAAAAAAAATTTATATAAATACTTTCTGCTGTTTTAAACTTTCTGACAAGTAAAAGAAATGGGCTTACCACTTTTAAAGACATGTATGAGACACATGAGCAGTGTCCCCAACTGCTGGCAGTAGAAGGTGTGTTGTTGCTCAGTAATGTCCACTTTAATTTCCCTGGAGGAAATGTCATCCAGCAACACACCCACCAGCTGGAGGAGGAATCTGGACAGAGGAGAAACAAACTATTATTCAGTGTAAAGGAAAAAAAAATCCTGGTGTCAAAGTAGGAAGCCTTTAAGAAATCAATGACTGTTACTCACCGGGCAAATGTTTCTTCAGGTGCAGCTTTTTGTGCTTCACCATTAGTTTCCTGGAGCGTGTCGGCAGCAGGCGGGTCACTAGATGAAGGGCTCTGCTGATGCAACCGTTGAATTGTGCTGCAGGAGAGGAGATGTGGGGAGAGGGAGAGCTCGTGGACCCGAGACAGGACAATGTCCTCAGTGGACTGGGAGACAAGAACCCTGAGCACTGCAAGTATACCAGACACCCAGAGCTGCACTGTAGCCACTGAGGCCTGATGGAGCAGAAGTCGGAGATGGAGAGAGAGAGGATCAAAAATCTTTTTGCAAATCAGTCATTAAAAACCAAGTTTGAAATATTATTATCCAGAGTACAATCCTTAAGGACTGTAACCACTGGTCCTACACTCTAAAAGGGTTTAGCCACAAATACTACAGTGTCGAAAAGTCAATCTCTCATTGTACCAGTAAGTTAAAGAGTCAGAGGCTTCTCTCACCATGGTTGCTGGGACAGTGAACATACTTTTCAGTAGCATGTCTACAGGCCTAAGAGAAGAGGGTGCTACAGTCTCAAAAAGAGTGTTCAACACTCCCAACGCCTCAGGAGAGTCCAGATACATCTGCGAGGATGCAACATACAATGAAGTCAACCTCAAAGAATACACACAAATCTGAGTGTCAGGGATTCAGCGGCAGGTTCTCTGACCTGCTGCTTTGCAATCATGGGAAGGATGACATCAGCAATCTGCCTGGACAGTCTCTTCCACTTATCCTCATTCTCTTTGTGACACTGCTGCAGGACCAGGATGAACATCTCCAACACCTGAATGATGATGAAATAAATGTTACCTTAAGGATGGAGCCCTTCTCGTATTGTATATCAACAAAGAAAAATACTGGTACTATACAGTGAACAGAACAATTCTAAAATATCTGGCTCTCATCAATGCAGTTGGTGGCAGTATAATATAAAGTATGAATTATTATTATGAAATATTTTTCTATAAAACAAATGTGGTATTTCTGGTATATTTGATTCCAGTTCTCTCCGTCCACCACCTCACCTGATGGTGCTGCACCAGTCGGAGCAGCATGGATACCACCACCTCCTTCTGTATATCCAGCTCTTTGCCTGCATCAGCCTTGTTTGAGCCCCTCAATACAAACAGGTCATGAACTATTGGCTGTAAGGCTGGGATAGCTGTGGAAGAAAAAGGAAAAAAAAAGAACCATGACTTTCATAAAATGGTGTGCAGGAAACTAGAATGAGCTTAACTGACTTCCTCTCACCGTGGGTGACAGCTTTCCTGCCACTGGCCATGATGCCATCACACAGCTGGATGATCTTGGGAATACTGATTATCTGCTTGGAGTGGTATCGCTCGTAGGAAAGAAGCACCAGGAAAAAAAAGATGTTTGGAATGATGGCCTCGGAATCTCTGAGTAGAACAATGATTTTAGTTATGCGATGGCTATGAGAAAGTAAATTATTTTAATCCTAAACTGACAAGGACATACCTGAACTGTCCCACTTCAATGTATTCAAACTGCTTGAGCACAAAACCAATGAACACCTGAAACAAAGAAAAAAAAAATCCATCAAAAATAGAATTTCACTAATGAATTAAAAGCTGAATCTTTAACTAGCTCAAAAAAGCAGAAACACATTTTACCTGATCAGAGTCCAGCAGACAATAGTTGACTCTTAGCTGCACCAACTGGGCCAGAAGGTCCAGCACTTGTCTCTGCAGGGCCACAGAGGTGCTGGTTGTGTACTGCTTCAGCGCCTTTATCACCAGTGGTTCAAACAGTCGGATGTGGTTGTGGATAGCATTCTGTTGGAAAAGTTGAGACATAGCTTTATGGCACTGGGGAAACTGGAAACATCAACAGATGGAGGTTGAGGAGTCCTTTTAGGCAACTAGATGTAAAAATTCACATCCAGCTGCCTAACAGGACTCTGCAACCTTGACCATGACCTGGATGACTGAGAATCTTCATAGACAACAGATCATCAACAGATGGACTTGTACCTTGTCTCCTCTATTTCTTGTTGCATTTGCAATGTTGGACCTCAGCTGATTAGATGCTTTTTGGATCACATCGAACCAACTAAAAGAAAAGAAAATGAAAGGGGGGAAAATATAACTGTGTGTGTGTGTGTGTGTGTGTATAGCACTTTTTTGCATTTGGCAATGACATTCATTAAAAAGGGATTTTTTTTTCAACCAGACTAAGGTTTAAAGTGCAAACTTGGCACTGCTGAATGAACTTTGCCAAGTGTCTGGCAACAAACCTTAGCTAAGTCTAGTCAAGTTATAAGTAGTACTAGGTTAAGACCTTTTTGAGGACTGGTGTAATCTGTCTCTTACAACTACTCACCCAGAGGTGTCCGGTTCCTGGTCTGTCTGCACCATATTGCGGAGACTAGCATCAGCCAGGGCCTGGGTGAAGTGTGTGTAAGGTGCCATGAAGCAGTAGTGGTAGAGGCCTGGTCGCAAGTTGGATGAGCCCAGACGCATGGCCTTGCCCTGGGAACGGCTGGGACCACTCAGGACGCCCTCATACTGAGAGGCCAGGTTTGTTCCAAACAGTGTCTTTAAGAGCTGAAAAAAATAACATTCTGTTAACAAACTGAGTATGGTCTACTCTACAGTAATTAGACATTATAACTGCAGTGGTTTTAAAAACTTTTTCTGCAATCATCACTGTAGTCAATCCCCTCTACGTCGACACAGCTTTGACTTGAAACTCCACTGAGATGTATTTATGAAAGTGAATTATTTGTTATTGTAACACAGCACACCACTGCACACAACCAAATATGACCTCTGCTTTTAACCCATCACCATAGTGAACAGGGGAGCAGTGTGTGGGGATGGTGCCATGGTCAGTGCACCACAGTGGGAACTTGGCAGCTGGTGGACTCGAACTTAAACCTTCCAGACCCAAGTCCGCTTCTTTAACCACCAAACCACCACTGCCCCCTGGAATTTAAATTATTGTAGTACAAATCAATGAACTGAGGTATTAAAATTACAAATCAGTCCCTATATGTATGTGCGACTAAAAATATTAAAATTTGAGAAAAATAGCAACATTTTATTTCACAACACCATATTGATATTCTATAGCACTGTACCATTTTTTTCTATTACCTGCAATTACATTGTTTAACAAAAACTTTTTTACAAATGTATGGAACCATCGCACAGGGAAACCAATGCCTTTACAGTCCCTGTCGGCAGGAACCAGATTCACTCTGTGTGGAGTCACATCAGATGCAGCACACTGCTCAGTGCTGGCATCGCCAAAGACTTCCACACACAAACAATAATGACAAAACCAAAAACCTTTAACCTTTGCATGATACTAACTTGCTGAACACAGACTGTGGCCATGGTTGGTTCTCTGGAGAAGCAGGACTTGAGGTATCCCAGGATCTCTTCCACACACTGAAAGAAATTGTTTTTATCAACAAGGATTGGTTGTTACAATACCAAAGAAGAAGAAAGAGAATTATTTGTCATTGTGACACAGCACCACTGCACACTCAACAAAAGGTGACCTCTGCTTTTAACTGAATTGATTTAACCACCAATACAAATGAAGGACAGGAAACATCATGCTAACCTTGCTGATGTCATGCAGCGTGGCCAGCTCCAGTAGCTGAGACAGAACATCTAGAGTAGAACGCAGGAAACTCCCAAACTTCTCCTGGCTGTGGAGATCCAGCGACACCTAGGGGATAGAAATGTGACCAGTCAAACAATGGCTCTTTTTAAATGATGGAAGACATTCAAAAAAAACAATGTCTGTTCAGACCTTGTAGTTGGTGTGTGTAGCTTTGAGGACATCGTAGAGTTTGAGGTAGGGCGGCAGGTGGTAGAAGCTGCCAAAGGTGGAGGATTTGTTCACTGCTACAGATGCTGCACTGTCTGCAGGTCTACCTGCTCGCATGACAACACAAACAATGTCAAATGGTTATAAATTTAGAGGCCATTACATATACACCCGTGCTGTGGTTGTGTGTACCTGTGTTGACTTCATTGCTTTTCTTTGGACTCATGGGGGCAGTAGAGGGCTCAGCAGCCTCCTTTTCTTTGCCTTTCCTGCGAATAGGGCTGAGGGACGGGGTGTTGCTAAGGGAGGGTAGGGTGGCCTGAAAAAGTGTGGAAGGCAAAAAACATCAGTGGTTATTAATAATAATAATCATATCTTTCTGCAGATCAAACCTGACACTGTGCTGTGGCCACTAAACAACCTGAATCCTAATCTCCGCTTCAGTAATCAGTACCATTAAATCAGTAAATCTGCTTTAATTTTTTACTTAATTTATTTGACATTGGCATGGTTGTAAACGACATCCAAGGAGCAGCACTACACTTCTGCTCCTTTATGACTCCATTAATGTCCTATTTTGTTATTAATGAACCCATTCATGCAGCTTCTCAGTTTCACCATGTCTATTGTTCTGTCGTCCTCTTCACTGTGCCCATTTAGTCAAAGATGATAGTATGCAACAACACCCCAACAGTTTGTTGCGGTACTGCACTATATCCTTTATTGTGGTAGATATTTGCAAGCTCTCTCAAATAGCAAATAATGCAAGTAACAAATGTAGAGGACAGACAGACAAAAGGCTATTCAGCAAAATAGCACCTTTTATCACCGTTTATCAGACTTACCTTCATTGCCGGACCGGGTGGTGTATCATCTAGTACATGGGAACAAATGTTCAGGACTTTCAGAAGGTGGGAGAACAGCTGCTCCACCAATACAACCACCGAACGCTCAGACAGTGCAGCCCAGGGTTCCTCCACCTTATTTGGGCCTGTACTGCTGTTTGTGCTGCTGCTGCTTTCTTCCTCTCCATTCCAAGGGTTACGCATGCATTTAGGGGCCACAGCTGCAAATGTATATGAACACACACACACATACATATTAGAAAATCCAGTCAATATCAGGTTACAGATTCTTTTTTTTCCATTGATCACCTACCAGCGAGCAGATTGCCAGAGAACAAAAGTGCATCTTGATGTGCAGACAGATCCAGTGGAAACCAGGCAGAGGAGAGTAAGGACAGGACCATGTTGGTCATACCCACAGTCAGAGTCCTCCGCTCTGAATCTGAGGATGAAGAGTTGGTGCAAGAGCCTGAGGCAGTGTTGGGCTGGGAAAGGCTGGAAGAAGAAAGACGAGCCAGTAGACCATCAAGGGAGTAAAGAGGGGAAAAGAAGGTTCAAGCAGGAGTTATTTGGAAAGTCACATTACAGCCTGTACATTTCTAGTAATCCTCACAATAAAGGAGACAAAACAAACCTAAGAGTCCTGGCCCTGCTGCGGTTCAGAGTCGAGCGTGAGGAGAAGCTGTTACTGGAGCTAATGTAGCCACAGTGCCACCCTGTGGTCCAAGTGCACACTGGGAAATTGGCAGCTAAGAGACACAAAGCTTCGCAGCAGCCGAACTGCAAAGAACAAAGCCATGAAAACTACAAACATTTCAAAATAAAAGACAAACTTTGACTCATCTGTAAACTTACAGTTAAAGCCCTAGAGGTAGAGGACGCGAGGGCATGGGAGACAGCAGTTACAACTCTGGACAGATTGTTTTCCAGTGTGACATCGGACACAGCTGTAGAAAGGTTGTAGCCTCTGTACGTCCTGGAACAGAGAGAGTTTAGGACCAATTTTGGGATTCTATAAAAACCTGGGAAACTTAACCCTTAAACTAGAACATAAAGTCAACGCTGTTTCAAAATGTAGTTAAATCACAAAAAGAAAAATACGTTAATTTTAAGGGTCAAAAACACTTTAGTTCATGAGTGTACCTCGTAATGGTGCTGATGGTGAATTGTGATGGGGGTTGGGCCTCATGCATAAGGAGCTGTAAGTAGACTGAACTCTGGTCTCGTGCCACAGCCACAACTGGGTCCACCTGACCCTGATCACAATCGTAGAACAACCTGGGAACAAGTCTGACAAAAGGAATAAAGAAGACATTAAAGAATAAATAGGAAAGGGAACAAACATTTAAGAAATGCTGAAAAAACCCTGGTCTTCTCTCAAATACACTGTGACAGAAGGTAAACATACTTGCTAACAGCAGTGGCAGCCACATGCCTCACTCTGGGGTCATCATCACCTAACAGATGTATCATCACATCACTGAGGACTCGGTCCTGCAGTCGCAGCCGCTGGATGACAAAAAGAGAATCACAAAACCATTTCATGGCCAAACAAATTCTCCATGAACATGTTGGTCACCAGGACTAACATGGTATAAAAAGAACATAGAGGGGGAGTCTAACACTTACCCCAGTGTAGTGATGATCTCCTTTGTGCAAAGTCTCGGTTTTTCTCTCCAGGAAATTTATTAACCTTAAACACAAAACAATTCACTGTAAATACATATACAAGGTTCTCACCAAATGATTAAAAAAATGCAGAATGATCCAACCTGAAGTCCATCTCAGCCAAAGTATCCAAGAGCTCAGTGCGAACCAGCCAGTAGGACGAGTCCCTCAGAGGCTGCAGGTTGACCACTAACTGCAGGCCCAGCTCACTCAGGGTACTGTTACAAATGGTCATGATGCAGTGCTGAAAAAGGACATTTTAAAAGTCAGACAAATGAAAACTTTAATTTAAGAAGCAGAAACCATACCAACAAACAAAGCGTGACCATACCCTGACTGCAGAACAAGCCATTTTGCAGGTGACTGAAGAGTCATCCTTGAGGGTTTTCTGGAGCAAAGGCACCAGGTCCACCAGGGACAGAGGGTTACCTGGAAACGGAAGACAGGGGAGTAAACCTGGGGACAGACTACACCATTTTTAACAGAGGTTGGATCACAGACTTCACAACTATGTCTGACGGAAGACTACAGACTACATAATCTGTCACAACAGTTAAAGCCAAATGTGCAAAGCAAACTCTTGTTATTTGTTGCCAACTAGGGAACCCTTGCCAACCTGGGAAATGTGTGAAAGAATTGGCAAAATGACTTTTGGTGTGTCCCCAGCTTTACACGTCATCACATACAAACTGTCTGGGGCTGTCGATGTGCTCATGTGCCTGACATGCATTATCCAAACTGACCTGTTGAACCCTGAACACTGGCCAGCCAAGTGTGGATGTTGTAATGCGATTTGGTGAGTGCAGCCTGGATGACAGCTCCACAGAGGATGGCTGTGGCTCCTCTGATCTGAGGGTCTCCATGGTCAATGAGGCACAGCACGTCACTGACAAACTGCTGCTCTGCAGTGAGTCAAGACAAAGGAGGGCGTTCAGAGACAGTGATGAAAGGCAACAACACAGCTCTAACTCTAAGAACTACAAACTCTCAAGTTTTTCAATTTTATATTTAAAACCTGCGTCACTTTCAATCTGAGAGTTTTCAGCACAATGATCAATCAATCTTCAGGACAGAAACTCTGGTCTGGTCTTGGCAGCTGTGTTACACCCAGTAGAATCTTCTCAGGGTTCATTATTCTGCCCACTTTCACCCTGCACTGAGATCTAATCAATAGATGAGTGAAAACTCCTCCGTCTGGCTCTGTCATGTCTATCATGACTCCGCCCATGTAGAGCAGTCACAGAACATTAGTAGCAGCTGTGGAACTAATTAATAAATACATTTGTTAAATAAATGTTTAAGCCCTTAATGTCTTAATGATATTAATTGTCAATTGATTATGTTTTATAATGTATGTCACAGCTAAAATCCAAATCATCACCATTGAAAAATTGTCATTTTGGGTCAGATCCCCTCAAAAATCTTTTTGAATAAACACCATTTTTATACTTTCATACAGTGTTATTGTGGAGAGGATGTAAAAATGAATTACATCAATAAATATATTTTTTATAATTTGCTTCAAATAATCTCAACAATCAAAATATGACCTCATTGGACATTGTTTTTTTTTTATTCCACATTTACCCCTTTCCTGTGTTTGGTGTGTTTTTGACTCTTTTTTTTGTAAAATGCCTTTGAAACCCTTACCTTCTACTGGAATGCCATCCAGCGGCTCCAGATAGAGTGAGTTGAAGAAGGCTTCAGGAAGTAATGCTGCTGCTGCTCCAACACAGCTGACAGCCAGAGCTTTTACACTGACACGGACCTCCTTGTCAGGAATTACACCTTGAAGAACAAGAGAAAAGAGAACTACAGTTCAGTCTTAGTCACTCATGGATGACGATCAAACTGAACTCAACGGTTGGAATGCGGTTCATTTGACTACTTCTTATAAACTACTCACCATTCTTCTGTCCAGTCCGCAGGAAGGAAGCGCCAAGCAGACGAACACAGTGCACCAGTGGCTCCAAACTCTGGTCTGTGTAATGTCCAATAGAACCTTTTACCCGTGATTGCTGAAATGCAGGTTAAATTTTTTTATTTTATTTGAATTACTTCAACCTTTACGGTGAATATCAGCTTATATTTGCACCTTGTTATCAGGCTCGGATTCAGTGGGTTCATCCTTTGGTATGAAGCGATCCACACTGCTGTCTGACCCCTGCCTGTTGTGACCTCGACCTTCAAAGAGATGAGGCTTGCTAAGGGCTGTAGAAAAAAATTGTTAACAAATAAAAATGATGTAAATTATGATTACAGTATGTTTCTGTGTCTCCTCGTTTCTGAATATTTGTGAAAACACACCCAGAGCCGACTGCAGGAATGGTTCTGGTGCTTCTTCCTGGGAGGACGGCGCTGTTCCTTCGTCTTCTTCATCCTGCAATGTTCCTATCTGCATTCCAGAGTACTGACTCTCACTGCCATCCAGCACCTTACGCACAGACACAAAACAAGCATTTCCAGAAACGCAAATACCTGACATAATGTGAATAACGGCCTGACTCTAAAAGGAAACCAGGTGTCAAACGCTTAAAATTCTGTTATTACTGGACAATGAGAGTTAGATCATGACATAAAACACAAATATATTTCAAGTAGTTTATATGTAGACAAACTGACCAGTTCTGCCACATCTGAAGGAGTGACAGCTGAGTCCGGTCCCTCCGTGGTGGTTTGTGACGAGTCGCTGGGTGGTAGAGATGGATCATTACTGTCGATCAGAGACCCACTCTGTCCCAGAGGACCTCCCTCAGGTGTGGCATTTTCTGGAGTTGTGTATTCAGTGGTTTCTGGTGTAATGTTGGCTCCACCACTGGAACTGCGACTGAGCATTTCCTCTTCGTTATCATTTGGTGACTCAGGAGTGTCTGATGTGGACGTCCCACCTCCTCCACCCTGGTCTGAGGAGGCACTGAGATCCACAGAGTCTCCAGGCTGCAGGGTATGCTGAGAGGAACGGGGCTGCTCAGTGATGATGTCGACCTGTGCTGCGGAGGAGCCGTCAGCTCCGACCACTGAGGCTAAAAGGAAAACAAAAAAAAAACACATTTGTTTTCCTTTCTTACATTTAATCTCTGTCTTATGACGACCATTCTCACCTGTGAAAGCACTCGCAGTCACTTCGGCCCTTTCAGGATCATCCTCCAAACCATCCTCCTCTCCAGAAAGCATTTTACCTGTGGGATAAACACGTGGGTAAAAAACATCAGGATAAACTGCTTCATTGTTTATCAACTGTCATTTGACAAACACAGTGATCAAATATATTAGCATTATTAAAATATAAACCATGCCCAACATAGAAAATCCACTGCATAAAGTCAAAGGCAAAAAGGCCCAAAGCCAGACAGTAGGAGAGTAGAAGTGAACAACAGAGAAAAAAGGATCACCTCTCTGTTTCCTAAGAAGGAGTGGACTGCAGGAAGACCCTCCTGCTCCAACCAGCAGGAAAACAGGAAGCAGAAACAGACAAACAGAACATCAGGGGAAGAAAAGCAGCAAACGCTTAGAAAGACTGACAGGAAACAAAGACAGTTAGCTCCACAAGACACAGGAAGTTAGCAAGGCAACAAAAACTAACACCGACAGACCAAGGCTGACAACAGAGAGTAGAGCAGCTGAGATGACCTGTCATTATCTCATCCACAGTTAGTTCATTAATACACCGACATCTGTTTTTGCATGATTGCAGCTTTTGAAAGATATTATAGGCTTTATTAGTGCCCGTTGAATTTTTAAACAGTGAAAGCCCGAGTAACATCTATGTTAGATCTTAACTTGCTAATAAATCACAGGACATGTATGGACAGACAGTCACCTATCAGCTCCAGGATGCTTCCAGATCGAGCACGGCTCTCTGGGTCCTGGCGAAACACAGTGGCTTGTGGAATGCTGCCAGGAGTGATGAGCATGTGCAGAAGTTCTGGTGGTGGAGTCCTGAACATCTGCTGCAGGAGCTCCAGAGCAGCTGTGACCACGTTGTGATCCCAGTGCTGGGTGTAATGAAGGGTCAGCTCATACACCTGGAGACAGATATAAAGAAAACAGGACCAACCGTTTTACACAGTGTATACATATACGTATTATAGCTTTCAGACACAATTTCAAAAACATAAAAAAAAAAACACACCGCTAGGAGCTGTTCAGGTGTTGGCTGTACATCTGCCTCCTTCCTCATCACTCCAAAGCTTCCTTTGAGGCTTGTGGTGTTGACCTGCTGCTGCAGCAGAGGCATAAGGTAGCGCAGAGTTAACAACACTCCAAGAATGAGGTGGCTGGGGTGCTCTTCATCAACAGGAACCAAAAGTCCTAAAACAAAACAGGAGACCAGTGGAGTAAGGGACATTTGCCCTACTGTCAAGTCTGTGTGTATGTGTATGTGTGTGTGTCGTACCCAAAAGCACATTTAGGAGCCAGGTGTAGAAGTAGCTGCTGCGTCTGGAGTGTTGGCAAACAGTGACAGCTGAACTGGCTGCTGTTCGTCTGATGGTGGGTGAGCTGGACTTCAGGTTGGCTACAAAGGACTTCAGCAGCAGCTAGGACAAAAGAGCAGGGCGACAATAATTATAATAAGATTCAAACCCCTAAAGAAAAATCTTTCTGTAGGTGAATGAAAGTGCCAGGGTGAAGTTCTGTTTTTCCACCTCTGCATTCACACCTTGATTTCGCCATCGTTGGCAAAGTGCCCCAGTGACAACACAATCTTGGGCATCGCTGCAGCCAGTGTTTCTTGTACAGTCTCCTCCTGTCTCTTAGTGATTCTGGTGAGGCACGGCAGCAGGTTGACCAGGTAAGGTCTGCAGCACAGGGGACAGTGAGGGAAATGAGAGTAGAATTTATGAATAAATTCCACCTTAAAAACAATGGTTCGATTGATATTTTTGTCATGTGGGAAATGTCATCAGGAACTGTACCTGCACTTCTGTGGTCTGATGAGGTGGGCCAGCTCAGCAAACCTCCACAGAGCTGCTCTAAGACTCCGGGAGGCGCCGTTCTAAACAAAAAGTACACAGAAAATTCATCATCACTTCTACAGAAGACATTCAATTATATTTAAAAGACATACATCACTGTCACAATGTTTCATTACCTTTTTAATTTCTTTGTAAAGTTCCAGCTGCAGTCTTGGCAGGTTGGAGTCCATCAGCGCCTGATAATTGACAACAAAATAACTTTTATTAGAAAAATCACTGAATCATTAAGAGAAACATCAACAGAGAACTCCATCACTGTCTTCCAATTTTGTTATATTTTTGATCAAGAAACAGATTCCTGCTCACTTTGATGATTTTGTTCAGGCACTCATCGGCGACCATTCGCACGTCTGATTCACTGTCATCTGTGCAGAGTAGGAACATCTCCATGGCGATGCCCAGCAGTTTCTGAAACTCTGGAGATGTTCTTCCACAGCCATAGAAAACACATTTGACATATAAAGATCTGAAACAGACTTACTTCAAACCTATTGATTATTTATTGGATGAAGTCAGAATCAGCAGTCAAGAAAACAGTTTGTTCTCACCTTTCAAACATGTAAAGAGCTTTGATTCTGTCTATTTTTTCTAATATCAATGACTATATATCATTTAACTGGAGCATAAATATATAACCAGTCATATAGTCAACATCTGACAGGAGAGTCCTTCAGAGTGGATCAGATCCCAAACAAAGATCTTATTTAATGAACAGGGCTTACCTCAGAGACTGGGCCACTATGTTTTCACATATTGTTAGACAGTGGGTCACCCTGTCCTTCTTGGTTGTAGCCTGTTCCTTTTTCCTGGAAAAGACGATGGAAGTAGTGAGGGGAAATTATAGGGAAAACGGGGTGTATATCAGGTTTGAAGACTGAGGTCATGACCTTTTGCAATACTCTATTAAGACCATCGGAGTTACTCCCTGTATTTAATCTGTGTCGACATAACGCACTGAATGAGAACCAGCAACCCTCTGAGGACTAACCAAAAACTTTCACCAAGTGGCCACTGGTATTTGACTTGATTCATATTATGGATATGTTGAATGTCTAAACAACATCCTGATTAAATCTTCTTATAACAGCTTAACAGCACAATACCTAATAATAATCCAGAACTGCTGTGAATTTAGAATCTAATAATATTAATGTTAATAATAATAAATAATAACAAAGTGGCTGCAGCAACATGTGTCAAAGCTGCAGGATGTGATGTTGGGAAATTTGTGTCTCTCAAAGCAGATTTTAATGGAAAACAATTGTCAAGGTTAAAAGCAGCTTCCAATGTGGGTCCAAAAACCATTCCTATATTTAAAGAAAAACCTTATTTCTGGCAGTTGAGCTAGAACCACAGTTTTTTCTTAGTTGTACTGCTTGGAGAACTCCCATGGTATACTGAGTGTTTAACTTGTCTTTCTGTCTCCTCGCTTTGTCCTTTACCCTGTGTGCCAAAACAAAAGCTCATTCTTTTTCTTTAATTTTGACTCATCTTTACAAAACCTGTGGTATTATATGCACTCTCTAGTATGATAAGTCTGCAACACAGAATCAAAATCGTGGTACTTCTGGTGGTGGGGTTTTGTTCCCTTCCTTCTATGCATAGTGTTTAAGAGCAACCTTATAGTAAAAAATACATGCTTCAATCACAACACCACATATTTCTCACTGCCTCAGAGTGATGTAGTAAGTCTCATATTATGACACAGTTGTAATTTTTTGTCATATGTTTGTTGAAAGAGCAAATCAAGCAGTGCACTGGTTAAGGTCACCCGTTGTATGTACATAGTTCTCTGATTTTCCAATTATACGTCAGGACTGCATTTATTCTGTCCTCGATTTGGTTACAATCTAGATGTCTTGTAAACAACATTGCTTGTATATGACAAACAATTTTGTGTACAACACATCCAGATTGTTAACAAAACTCACAGATGTAAGTGAAATGTTTGGTATGCACCTCGGCTGTCTGCTTTTTTTCCATTGTTAAAGCAACAAACAACCTAAAAGCATCACTTCTATCCATAGATCTTTGACGCCTTCTCTGTATTGAAATACTGACCTATTTAAACCTAAAACTGACACCATGACAGATATGAGTCACATTCCTAACTACTATTACATGTGACACCAAGTACGTTCAAATAACAGCAATCATCCTGCTTTGTACCCTAGATGTAACCGTTAGCGTAGAGCCTAACATCAGTTAGCTGCCAGCGCTAACTGACACGGAGCACCGTTAGCAGTAGCGCTAGCCTGCCGTGTTTTCTCAGTCAGACTAAAATGTACTTACTGCCTCTGGACGAGCTCCTCTGCTGTCGGCGGCCCCTGCTGTTGCTGGAATGACTTCAGAGACTCGAAGGCCTTCATCAGTTTCTCCATGGTGGCCATTTTAGCTGTCAACACTGAACGCTTATCAGCTAATATTTACTATGGAGGCTAACTATCTGAGCTAGGCTAATCTACGATAGCAAAGAGTTAGCGGTGGGAGAGAGCGAAGCGGGGCGGGGAGCTAACACAGCCCGCAACAACTACCACCTCTTGCCCACCGACTCTTCTTCCAACACCACCTTTTATTTCTTTACGACGTTATTCCAACATGAACGAAACATTGTCGATTTTCAAGCCATCTTTGTTGCAGCGTTCCGTTCACCCGACATATCACACCGGGGAGTGGAGTGTTTGACAGCCTGTCACTGAAAGGCGGGGCAAAGCAGCGCCAGCCCATCAGAGCACGAAACATTTGAATGACGTTAAAATTGACTAATCATTGCTTTTGACTTTTTCCACCCTTTTGTTATTGTTTCTGTCACGGGTCCCTTGAAATCTAGCTATAGAAATAATTAATAATATTGACCATGTAATTAAAAATGGACAACTCTGATATGCACTTCGTTCCAACGTAAGTTTCTCATGTTTACAATTTGTACAAAGTGAGTGGAGAGAAGGCACTAAAATTAGTTTAATTATTTCGTATACATTTTTATACAAAAGTTAACTAACAGTTAGCCCGCACAGTAGAAAAAAGTGTTTGTGATTAATCAAATTAGATAAAGGCCGCGTAGGTAAAGGTTAGGGGTGTCCATCCGGAGTTCGACAAAGATTGGGATAAAAAATATGTTTTATTATGAATACATATTTTTATTTAAATTTAACTCCTTAGTCTGTACTCATTATAATCTATATTGTAATACTTATTTCCCAGTCTAATGTTTAAAAAAAAAGTACTTTTAAAGAAAACTATAAACTATAAAATGTTCAAACTGACTCCTGTCCATTTTGGTTTCTTGGGTGAAATTATTGTTTCTGTTTTTGTTTTTAGGATACAGCATCAACAGTGTGTGTTACTACGTTTTGGATATAATAGGTCATGGAAGGGTTTACGGATTTGTATCTATTTTGATTTATTTGAATCCAACAACAGAATTAGAAAACAAATAAGTCAAGACACAGGATTTTTTTTATACAAATGGCAGTGTATTATTTCATAATTACAAATGTCAGATATGGTACAACAACCAGTGATACAACTTGTACAAGAATTAACAATGACTGCAGTGGTTGAACGACATGACTGTACAGATACAAAAAAGAAAAAAGAGAGAAATCAAGAATCCAAGGCTAAGTTTGAATACCAACAATCCACTCCTCCTCCCTCTGGTTGAAAATGTCTCACCTGACTGATACCTCTGGATAGAAGTCAGGAAAAGCTCCAGGGTTGTATTGGCACTTATTCCAAACAAACCTGGGAACTACCTGAGGAGGAGACGACTGTTGTGTGTGTTCAAACTGAGCCACATCAACTGGTCATCATGCCATTTTTAAGGTTGTTCTCAGATAACAGTGAGATAGGTTGGCACTAGAAGATCATCATTTACATATATAAGGAACCTGAAGTATTACAAACCAATACATGCGTGAGTAATAAAACATATGTATATTTTCTTTTTTTTTTAAACAGGCATTAAAATGCACTTAGTGCGGACATTCAAAACTGTTCAAAGTTCCTCAATAAGAAGGAATTTCTCTCAGAGTGGACGGAAAGGTTCAGAGGTTGAAGAATTATGGGATGTTGGGAAATAAAACTGGGAAATTCGCACAGAAAATAAAGGCTGACAGTCTTTCTTTAGTGAAGTCCTTGGTTAAAAGCATGTGGAAATTATTCAAATGTTGTCTTGGGAAATGTTGGCAAATAGAATTTAGAAGACACTGTCAAAGACTGAAGGGTCATTGTCAAAACACACCATAGTGCAATGGAACTAAAGAGAAGTGAACTTGATGATTGTGTGAACTGATTCACAGGTGGATATTAAAACAGTTTACACACCACGGTTCAAAACTAAGAAAGCTTAACTCTTTCATTTCAGAAGTTTTCCCACTAAAAACCCAGCCTTTCAACAGAAGTGTGTAAACTCTTTATTACCACAATATGTGGATGGTATAACATAAAGTTACAGAGGAATGGGATAAAAACACGCTGTTTTCCCATGTGAGTGAGTCATGTGAACTACAGCTTGGTTACATGTTAGAAATACATCATTTACAAGGATTTTGAGGCTAAAAGAGCTAAAAAGGCTAGAATCTACACTGTCAAGAGAAATTAGCTTCAAAATGTGCCTGAGAGCAACAAAATAATAACAATAATAATAATCATAATATAAAGACACTCAGAAAGTCAAGTAACCAAAGCCAGCAACAGCTTGATGCATGCGTTCGATTCCTGATTTCGTTAATGGAGTGTGTAACAGGGGACTGCAGACTCTTCTAATGGGTAAATGTGACAGGAACTGTATACGTACCATTTTGAATGCACTAAAAAAAACCAAGTCTCATTCAAGGCCCTTAATGTTTGTAATGTTTTCACAGAGAATGCACATAAATTTTGGTGGAGAAAAAAAGGCTTACACTGAAGTAATTCTTTGCTTAACAAAATCTCCTACTGCACAAGGCAAAGCTAATTTAATTTAATGCATTAGACTGACCAAAAACTGCATACAGTGTAATACACACACACACACACACACACAAAGCTAACTTTCCTGATTGGATATTCACAGCATTAAAACAGGTGGAGGGGAGAAAAGAGCAATTGTCTTAAAAGGGGAAAAAAGGTTTAAAGAATCGATGGAAACTGAAATTGTTACAGTAAAGCAGCAAAAATAAGTGTTGTAGAAAATTGGGGAGTGTTCCACCTGGTGTACAGACATTCAGCAAGACCGTTATACCATTCTGAAAAGTAATTATCAGCTGCTACTTTAGCAGGAACAGCAGGAGTCACAACTGGATTCAAACTACAAGGACTCAGGATGTCCCAGTGATATGGCAAGCAACTAGTTGTTAAAGCCAAAGTCAGGGTGTTTATTTCATACTCTGCAGTTTCACCAAGCTCTGTCGGGGGGAGGGGGGAGGTGAGGTGTCCAACATTGACAATTTTGTTCTAATGTGTTTATAGAAAAATGGGACCGTGATTCAGTTAAGCTTTTCCCTCTAATGCAGCTCTAAATGTCATTACAAGTGCTGTGCAACATGATCAGGTCTAATCAGCACTTAGTGGAGGAACAAATGTAGACGAAAGCCAATCACAGCTATGTTTGTAGGCTGGGAGGTGGAACATCTAAACAGAGATCCAATCAAAATTTGATTGTTTGTCCAGTGGTAGAATAAACAGAAGACAGTATGAAGACATGAACTGCACAAAGCATCTCCACTCATAAACATTAGCCAAATATCCTGCTCTTTTTCAATGAGTTGCACAGCGGTTCACGTTGCACAGCATTTGTAATGCTATACTGAGCATGTCAAGAGCTTAAAGGCAAACATCAAGACCATTCTGTCCACATACAATCAATGTTGTTTTTCTGTTAAAAATAGAAGATTTTTCTCTGCGTCCTGTCCTCGGATGAGTCAGTGCACATGGTTCTGGACCTCAATGACCTCCTCCACCCACTGACACCACAGCTGTCTGGTCTCTGTGATTCTAATGGACACTATTACGACTGAGAAACAATCACCAAGTCACATGACGGCAGAGTTTAGGACTACTGACGACCACTGTCTACTGTATGATCAACAGACACACAGCAGCCAATAAGTGCCCACGGCTGAATCAAGTGATGTTTGACTGAAGCAGCATGTTTGTGACCGTAATGAAGCCACAGACTGATTTAATGTCATCATGGCCGTCGTCTGTCTCTGAAGCCCTCCTTCAGTAAATTGGTCATAAACTTGTTAAAATACAGAAAGTACGTTACTAAGAAAGGCAGGTGAAGATCCAGGAATTAACTACAGAAGCTGAAGATTAGAAATAAAAAAAAACAAACAAACCAGAAGTTCGGCCGTAGTGAATGAACAACATAACAGACGTTGACTGCTTAAACTACTCAACTGCTGTCAGGGCTGCATCTCAAAGGGTTCTCCAAATAAGGGTCCAAGACTGGGTTTAATGGACTTTATAATTGTCATGACCTCCCTAGAATATACTTTGTATTTTTAACAATACATTATGCTATGAATTTTGACTAAACCAACTAGGTAGGACCAAGGCTTTAGGGAAGTTCAGAAAAGCCGACAGTCAACGGAAAAGAAGAGTGAGTTGAAGCAGCGAGGCATCAACACAGCTGTGTTCACTTCTATCTTCGTCCATTCAGATCTACCCAAGCCTTCGACTGTGTGGGATTCATGAGGAGCAGGAGGAGCAGAAGAAAGGAGGAGAAACAAGAGGAGGAGGAAGTAATGTGCTAACGAATCAATCACAAACATACAGCACAATCAAGGAAAATAAAAAAGCTCAATGCTACACAGAGGAAATGAAAACAAAGAGACGACTGATTCTGTGCTTCTGAAAGAACTCCCCAGTACACACTCTCTGTACTCACACACTCTCTGTACTCAACCCCAAAGAAAGTCAGAGAAGAAAAATAAAAATGTCATGTATGCATTCAAGTGGTACTTTTATGGCTTTTGTACAATACAACCTTTAGTGAAAATATACATCTAGACATAAATTCAAGTACAAATGTACAAAATCTTTAAACTCATACTTTTTTCTTTAATTATAATACACTTTTAATACAGCTCATAAATACAGGTCAACATTCACTGAGTTCCTAAGATTTGCGCTCGGTTGGAGTTTGTGGTGGACTTCAGCGGCGAGGGAAGAAGGAGAAAAAAAACAGGAAAGGACTGAGAGGTGGGGTGGTGGGTGGGTGGTGTGGTCAAGTGGGGGGAGTGGTTTAAAGTCGTGAGGGCTCTTCGGTCTCGTCGTCACTGTAACCGCTCCTAAAACAGACCTGGGAAGAGCCAAAATGTTGGAGATATATGACTGTGTTCAGAGGAGGAGGTGAGAAGTAAAGGTGATTCAACATGGAGACAAGGAGTCCACCACACGTCTGGACACCACCACACATGATGTCCAGCCTTTTACCATCAGCTGGGAGCAGGTTAGATGAAAACATGAGACGATGAAGCAGAGGAATGGAGGGAAAGTGAAGGTGTATTTCATTTGGACTAAAATAATCATTTAATTTATTAATTGATGATTATTTCGGTTTTTCTGTCGAAGAAAACATTGACCACGTACAGAGGAAGAAATGGACGTAGCCAATAGAAACACTCCACGGCTGCAGTGGTAGCTTTTTAAATCATGTTTAAATAACTGATAACCAAGGAATTTAACTTTTTAAAAAGTGTGAAGTGCAGATTGTTCTGTACGTTTGTTTGTTGTTTTGTTTCATTTCATGAAAAATGGTCTAAACCAATCAGATGGAAAATAATTGTTAAAGTTATTTAAACTATAGTTATAAATAGTTGTATAGTTATTTTGTATTTTTATTTAATAATCTTAAAAAATCCTGTATTTTGTCTGTTTCTTTAAAGATGGTAAACAACTCTGAACATTTTGTCAAGAGCTTCTGGAAAGGTAGGTCACAGTTTAGTTTTTCTCCATTAACCAGATTTTTCTTTTAAAATTGAATACAGTGGTGTTGTGGTGCTGTTGTGGAACGGATTAAACTCGTATCTTGGGGCGACACTGTGACACTGTATAAAAGTGTAAGACTTTTGAGGAAAGTCAGTCTGTTAAAGTATGACGAGTGACGGGGGGCAGTTAGAAGCCGAGGACCACAGCTTGAATTATGTTAGTCACTGTGTCTTTGTGTCGCACTATGATTCATGTGGAGGAAGGCATGTGACATACCTGTTCTCTAACGCAACAAAAAAACACAAAATTGTTGACCTACACACACACACATATATACAGTATATATATATATATATATACACATATGTGTATATATATATATATACACATATGTGTATATATATATATATATACACATATGTGTATATATATATATATATATATACACATATGTGTATATATATATATATATACACATATGTGTATATATATATATATACACATATGTGTATATATATATATATATACACATATGTGTATATATATATATATATATATACACATATGTGTATATATATATATATATATACACATATGTGTATATATATATATATATACACATATGTGTATATATATATATATATATACACATATGTGTATATATATATATATATATACACATATGTGTATATATATATATATACACATACGTATATACATACATATATATATAGCTATATACAGTATATATAAATACATGTATATATACAGAATTCCCAGGGAGTGGGGCTTATGTTGACCCAGGAATTGAATCTAGGCCACTACAGTGGAACAAAGACTGAATGGACCAGTACTGTGTCACCTTTGACCCCTCACACAAAGTGTAACATAAATGTAAAAACGAGATGTGGAAATGAAATGATGGAGAAGGGAGAAGAGAGGCCTTGGTCAAACCAACGCAAGGTAAATGAAAAAAAAGAGAATATTATTGGTTTAAATGTCTTTTTTTTAAATTCACACGTGTTGTGTTTGAACAAGGTCTGTGTTAAAGACAGTGAAGAAAGAAAAGGCAGAGGAAGTACCTTAGCCCCCACCCCCTCGAACAGTTGCCGGAGCACTAGCACTTGCCTCTCTTCTGAACAGGCGGTAGAAGAAGCCTCTCTTTGGTGGAGGGTTGGGTCGGTTCACGTCCAGGTCTGAGCACAGGGTCCCGTCCGTCTCGTAGACATTGATTTCTTTAAAGCAGCCCATTTCAATCATCTGCAGCGAGACAGGTCAGACAGAAGAGTCAAATGTTCAGATGGACAAGCAAGTGTTAGAGACACTGATGGCTGGACAGCGACGTGGACGGGACAATGACAAATGGAACAACCTGACTGTGCTGGTGTCATGTGACCAGGGACATTATTATTGTTTTACCAGTAGAACTGACTCTTTCCCCTGTGGTATTGCCTGTACTTGGTGACTGTGTCTATCTAAGATTTTGATGACTGTCTTCATGGCCCAGGCAGCTGTGCAGCAGAACCAGGGCTCGCCACACAATCAGGGCTGATGTAACATAAATATACAGGAACGGAATTGTAGCTCACACTCTGAAAACCACAGACTGAAAGCAAGTATTCCGTGTTTAGATATATCTATATTTACACTAATATATGGTGTTATAATAAAGACCAAAACTGTAAGACGCCTAAAATCACAGGGGAAACCCGTCAGAACCGTCTGTGGATACAGGTGTTTCAGTTGTACTGTCTCTGTCCTCGGCTGTGACTGAGCAATGACATCATCTCTGGGGAGTCTGTGTGCAGTACCTCATTCTGCCACGGGATGGAGACACTGCCAGTGACAAACTTGTGGTAGAAATCATCATCTGTGGGGTCAAGGTTCACGCCTTTGACAGTGGAGAACTGCTCAATGTCCAGGACGTCTTTACAGTACACGGCCCGAGGCTGAGGACGGAGACACAGAGTAGACACAGTTAGAGGACACAGCCGACCTTACAGTACTACAGTACTTCATTCAGAGCCACTGGATTCAAGACTTCACTCAGGCTGAGTACTGTAGTACTGATTACTGTCTGTATACCGCTAAGTACCGCTGAAATATAAAGATTCACATAATATAAATTTCTACAACAAATATTTTGAGACACTTCCTTCTCAGAAAGTCTAAATTATGCCCAATAAATTTTATTGTAAGATATAGAAAAACCCAATCAGTTAATACGTAGATGGCATAGAAAAAACTAACTTGCTGATGACCTTTGACCTACACAGATGCGTCCGTCACTAAAGCCGAGACAAAAACGATCTAAAAGCTGTGACTTTAATTTGTAACGGAGGTTTTCCTCTGTGCTGCTGCGTTTCCCAAAATGAATAGATCCATTGATGAAAGACTGAAGACCGTCTTTAAAGTGAAACACAGTGTTTTATCAGCAATGAAACCAGTCTTTTATCTTTCTAATAATAATTTATTGAAAAAAAAAACTATAAAAAGAAATAATAAAAAAAACCCTCTGAAATCATAAGACTTCCTCCCCGAGCCCCTCCAGCCACTGCTTTATCTGGAAGTGTTTGTTTACTTCTGACAATGGCATTTCCTATGTCATGATTTGCAGCTCACCAGGCTTTCAGCCTACAGGCAGTGAACTGGACTCTGTGTGAACAGAAGGAACCGGGAGTTTCTGTGTGTGTGTGTCCAAATCTTACATCAGGGCTGAAGGGGGGGTCCAGCATGTTGGCCTCCAGCCGTTTGAAGTTGATATTTCTGAAGATAGGATGTTGCTTTACTTCTATCGCGCCGCGACCCTGACAACCAAGACGCTCCTTAGGGTCTTTGGCCAGGAGCTGATGAACAGAGGGAGGACGAAGATGGAGGAGGAGGAGGAGAAAAATAAATCAGAAATATAAAACGGTGTATTTCTACAGATGTGTGTTAAGCTCAAACTTTGAACTTTTCTCAAAACATTAACAAACATAGCAATTGTTGATGTCACATTTCAGAGCTAGCGCAGGGCCGGTTTCTAGCTAATCTTTAGCTATTTACGTAATTCTTTAAAATCGGAAGGAAAAACAGACTCACGAGTTCTGTATCAGGTAGTTGTTACTTCTTTTTTAACTTCTACATATTTATTAGTCATATTATTTTGGACCTGATTATGTGGTAGCTAACTGTTAGCTAACCTTTAGTCATTCATGTTGCTGGAATAAGTCATGTGACATTCTGACTCAGCTGCAGCGACAGCCACCACCATCCTTGTTGCCCTACTCCCATTACTTGCAGACCCCTTCCCCCTTCCCCACCACCTCCACCACCGCTGCTCCTCTCTCCAGGGAG